AGCTGCTGGGAAGACTTGGCAGGCAGGGACCTCGACCCGCTGAACCGGGAGGTCATCGGCACCTCGCGTAAGGAGGGCGGGGCCGGAGTGCAGTGGGCGCCCGACCGCCGGGCAGCCGCCTTCTGGGCCGGCTGGGCTTTCGCCATGGAACGGGTCGCTAGCGACGCAGGGGCGACCGCGAGCGAGCTGCTCGAGGCAGTGCCTGACCTGGAGCAGACGCTTGCCAGGGCGCGGGCTGAGCTGCGGCGGCTCGGAGCTGAACCAGCCCCCGGGGCTTCTCTCCTCGAGGCTCTCCAGAGTCAGGTTAAGCAGAGCAAACTCGCGAAACTTGTGCAAAAGAACGCCCGCGCGGCCTTGGGGCAGCGCTTGCCGGTTCACGAGAGAGCTCTGCTGCCGGGCGCTGGAGGCCCAGGCGCGGCTGCCTTCCTGCTGTGCCCGAGCGACCTGGCGTGCACCATGGGGGGCGAGCTCTGGTCGTCGGCGCTCCGAGCGCGGGCGCTGGTGCGAAGGCCCGAGTGCTCGCGGGCAGAACTGGCCGCGGCCGCCGACGCGCGCCAGAACAGGAGCCGCGGGGCCGGCGCGGCGGCGGCCCCCTGCTCGGCTCCACTGGGCGGCCGGGTCACGCACGCCGCCATCTGTGCCCACGGGGGCGGAGTGGTGGTGCGCCGCGGGAGGCTCGAGGATTCCGTGGCCGGCCTCATCAAGCGGTGGCTCCACCGCGACCCCTTGCAGGAGCAAAGAGTTCCCACGTGGGACCGCCAGCGGGAGCGGCGGCAAACCGACCCGCCAGACGCCGACCTTCAGGAGCGCGCCATCCTGGACATTGAATACTTCGAGGGCGCCGGGCGGCATTGGCTTGACGTGACCGTGCGTCGCCCGGCGGCAGAGCACGTCGTGGCTGGGGCCGCCCGCAGGCCAGGCGAGGCCGCTCGTGCAGCCGAGCGCGAGAAGCACGCGCGCTACCAAGGCGACCGCCTCACGCCCTTCGCGGTGGAGGCGCCGGGCCGCCTGGGGGGCGAGGCCCGCCAGTGGCTGGTGCGCCAGGCGAAGACGCTGCCGGCGGACCAGCAGGCCGCGGAACTCATCCGCGCCTACAAGGTGGTCAGCTGCGTCGTCTAGACGCAGCTGGCCCTGCAGCGCCGGAGAGCCGCCGGCCTTCGCTGAGCGCTGAGCCTCCGCTGTTTCTATTCTACTTTACCTCTTCTTCCCTTCCCCGCTCTTCCTCCCTCCTCTCCGCTCTCCCTTCGCCGGGGCCCCGCTTGACTGCAGTGCCACCGCGTTTTTTTTTGTTCCCCCCTCCCCCCCCCTTCCCCTCTTCTCCCCCGCTCCTTGCCTCCGGCGGGCGTGCGAGCGCCTAAGGGGAGGGTCTGGTGGCTCACACCTCCCCGCCGCGCGTCCGTCTCCTCCGTCTTCCGGTTCCCTCCTGCCCCCTCCCCCCTCCTCCCTCCCCCGGGCAGTTTTTTTTCGGGGTGTGTCCTGTCGCCAGCGCCCAGGCGGGCTGTCGCCCCCCGCCCGGGCGCCGAGGAAAAAAAAACCGGATGGACACACACCCGCGGAGTGAGGGTTTTGAGAGCATTGTGGTTAATCTTCTCGGCCTGGCGCGCACGGACTATCCTCACACGCCTGACGCCAGTGGACACCCGTCCGAAAGGTGGACGGGTGCTGGGGTCGCGGCAGCACGAGGGGGAGGAGGAGGAGGAGGAGGAGGAGGAGGAGGAGGAGGAGGAGGAGGAGGAGGAGGGGCAGGGCCACGAGGACGACGGAGCCATTCCAGGAGGAGGAGGAGCAAGAGGAGGAGGAGGAGGAGGAGGAGGAGGAGGAGGAAATGGACGCAGGGGGGGGGCGGCTTCAAGCTATCCCCCCCCCCTTCCTTTGCAAAGGGAGGGGGGCTTCCGAAGCGACCCCCCCCATCCCTTCGGGGCTCCGGCAAAATGGCGGATTCCCTCCCGACCGGGGCGCACCGCAGCCCTAGAGAACGCATTGGAGAATAACGTCGGCCCCTGTTTCGTTTTTTTGTTATCTTGTTTTCTCGGCCCCTGGTTCGTAGTCTCGTTTTCTCGGGCCCTGATTCCTGTTTAACGTTTTCTCATGTTCTCGGCCCGTGGCTCGTTTTCTTGTTTTCTCGGGTTGTCTCGTTCTCCTGGGCCGCGGTCTCGTTTTCTCTGACTCGCGTTCTCGTTTTCTCGTTTTCTCGGCGCCTGGGTCGCGGCCCAGTTTTCTCGGACCCTGCTTCGTTGTTTCGTTTTCTCGTTTTCTCGGCCCCTGGGTCGTGGCACTGTTTTCTCGGACGTTGGTTCGTATTCTCGTTTTCTCGTTGTCTCGCCCCCCGAGTGGTGGTTTCGTTTTCTCTGACCCTGCTTCGTTTTCTCGTTTTCTCGTTTTCTCGGTTCCTGGGTCGTGGTCTCGTTCTCTCGAACCAAGCATTTTCTGATGATTTCGGCCCTTGGGTCGTGGTTTCCTCAGCCCCTGGGTCGCGGGTCGTTTTCGCGTTTGTTTCAGTTCCTCGGCCCTTGGGTCGTGGTCTCGTTTTCTCGGGGCCTGGTTCGTTTTCTCGTTTGTTTTGTTTCCTGGGTCGTGGTCTCGTTTTCTCTGTTGTGGTTGGTGTGTGTCGTCCTCTTGTGTTTTTTTTGTTTGCCGATGGTTCGTAGTCTCGTTTTCTCGGGCCCTGATTCCTTTTATCGTTTTCTCGTTTTCTCGGCCCCTGGGTCGTGGTCGTGTTTTCTCGGCCCTTTGTTCGTTTTCGAATTTTCTGTGCCCTTGGGTCGTGGTCTCATTTGCTCGGACTCTGGTTAGTTTTCTCGTTTTTTCGTGTTCTCGGTCCATGGGTCGTGGTCTCGTTTTCTCGGGCCCTGGTTCGGTGTTTTTCCTTGCTGTTCGGTGTTTGTTGTTGTGTGTTGTTTTTGTCGGGCCCTGGTTCGTGATCTCGTTTTCTTGTTTTCTCGGCCCTTGGGTCGTGGTGTCATTTTTGCCCGGACCCTTGTTAGCTTTTTCGTTTTCTCGTGTTCTCGGCCCCTGGGTCGTGGTCTCGTTTTCTCTGACCCTGGTTCGTTTTTTGTTTTCTCGGCCCAGGGATCGTGGTCCCGTTTTCTCGGACCCTGGTTCGGTTTCTCGTGTTTTCCGTTTCTCGGCCACTGGATTTTGGTTTTGTTTGCTCTGGCCCTGGTTCGTTTTCTCGTTTTGTCGTTTTCTCGCCCCCTGGGTCGTGGTCTCGTTTTCCCGGGCCCCGGTTCGTTTTTTCGTTTTCTCGTTGTCTCGGCACCTCGATCGTGGTCTCGGTTTCTCGGGCCCCAGATAGTTTTTTCGTTTTCTCGGCCTTTGGGTTTTTGTCTCGTGTTCATGGCCCCTGGTTCGTTGTCTTGTGTTCTCATTTTCTCGGCCCGTGGGTCGTGGTCTAGTTTTCTCTGACTCTGATTCGTTGTCTTGTTTTCTCGTTCTATCGTCCCCTGGGTCGTGGTCTTGTTTTCTCTGACCCTTGTTCGTTTTCTTGTTTTCTCTGCCCCTGGATCGTGGTCAAGTTTTCTCGGACCCTGGTTTGTTTCATCGTTTTCGCGTTTTCTCTGCCCCTTGGTCGTGGTCTCGTTTTCTCGGACCTCGTTTCGTTTTCTCGTTTTCTCGGCTCCTGCGTCGTGGTCTCGTTTTCTCGGACCTCGTGTCGTTTTCTCGTTTTCTCGTTTTCCTTGCCGCTGGGTCGTGGTCCCGTTTTCTCGGGTCCTGATTCGTTTTCTCGTTTTCTCGGCCTTTAGGGTCGTGGTTTGGTTTTCTCCGGCCATGGTTCGTTTTCTCGTTTTCCCTGCCGCTGGGTCGTGGTCTCGTTCTCTCTGACCCCGGGTCGTGGTCTCGTGTTCTCGGACCCTTGTTCATTTTCTCGTTTTTTATTTTCTCGGCCCTTGGGTCGTGGCTTCGTTTTCTCGGACGGTGGTGTGTTTTCTCGTTTCCTTGTTTGCTCGGCCCCTGGTTCGTAGTCTCGTTTTCTCGGGCCCTGATTCCTTGTATCGCTGTCTCGTTTTCTGTGCCCCTGTGTCGTGGTCTCGTTTTCTAGAACCGATATTCGCGTTGTCTTGGCCTGGGCCGTGGTCTCGTTTGCTCGGACCTTGGTTTGTTTTTGGTTTTCTCGTGTTGTCGGCCCCTGGGTCGTTATCTCGTTTTCTCGGACCCTGGTTCATTGTCTCGTTTTCTCGTTTCCTCTGCTTTGGGTTTTTGTTTCGTTTTCCCGGCCCATTGTTCGTTTTCTCAGTTTCTCGGCACTTGGGTTGTGTTCTCGCTTTCTCGGGCCCTGGTTCGTTTACTCGTTGTATCGTTTTCTTTGCCCCTGGGTCGTGGTTTCGTTTTCTCGGGCACTGGTCTGTTTTCTCGTTGTCTCGTTGTGTCGGCCCCTGGGTGGTGGTCTCGTTTTATCGGACCCTGGTTCGTTTCCGCGTTTTCTGTGCCCTTGGGTCGTGGTCTCGTTTTCTCTGACCCTGGTTCGTTTTTTGGGACCCTGGTTTGTTTTCTCGTTTTCTCTGCCCCTGGGCCGTGGTCTCGTTTTTCGCACCCTGCTTCGTTTTCTCGTTTTCTCTGCCCCTGGATCGTGGTCCCGTTTTCTCTGACCCTGGGTCGTCGTCGTCGTCGGTCGTTGGTCGACGGGGCGGGCGCGGTTCCAGAATCCACTGCGGCCCGCGAAATTGGAACCGCTCTGGGGCGCCGCGCGATCATCGGAGGGGGGGGGATGAGGACAAGGAATGGGGAGGGAGCGAGAGGAGGAGGTTGCACAGGTATTGGTGGATTAGCTCTCACATCGCGACTGCACCTCGAGGCCGCCTCCTGGCCCCGGGCTCGTTTCCGAACAACTCGGCACGAAAGGCTGGTTCTGGTCCTGGGAAGGGCTGCGAGGACCCAGCCGGCCGGGCGTGGCTCTAGGACCCGTATCGCTCCGCCTCTTCTGGCGGGAGCGCGCGCGAAAGGGGGGGGGCGTGCGGGCGACGAGGAGGAGGACGAGGAGAAGGAGGGGGGGGGAGTGGTAGGATGGTCCTGCTAATGGTTTCCCCGAATCGCGCCTTCCTGGATTCCCTGGGTCGTCGTTCCCGTTTCCTGGGTTCGTGCCTCACTCGTTTCTTGGGTTCGTGCCTCACGTTTCCTGGGTTCGTGCCTACCGTTTCCCTGGGCCGTGTCTCATCCGGCAGACCGCCTCCAGTGGAAGGTGCTCTTCCTGGATGGCCGTGCTGTCGTCGCCTGCGGGGGGGGGTCTGCCAGGCACAGCAGGACAGCCCACGTGGCCGCGTACACCCAGTTGTCGGGTCTAGACTCATCTCCAGGTCGGTCAGGAAGCCGTCGTGGCTGGAAAGTTTGAGGCAGCGCTCAGCAAGGTCAATTGGGGCGTCGCCTGCAGGGCCGTGCACGAGTGGGCGCAGGCCCATGACGTAATGGAACACTGGCGCCAGGGCTGGGTCCGTCAGCAACCGAGCACCAGCCATTTCAGGTTCTCAGCCAGGTGATCGCATTTGTTGTCCTCGGGCAGGGGGCTGTCTGCCAGGGCGGCGAAGCTGAGCTCTTGCTGGTTCCGCACCTTCGGTGGCAACGTTTCTTTGGCCTTCCGTGCGCGCTCCGCCTCGATCCTCTCGGCACCCTCCTTCGGGGCCTCGTCGTGGACCCAGAGCCATGGAGGGAGGTAGGCAACCGGTCCATGGCCGGCCTCGGTAGCCATGGACCGGTTGCCAGCCGCTTCAGGGCTGGCGAACCGGAGCCAGAGCCCAGCGTCCAGGCCCCAGCGTGCCAGGACATTCAACTTCGAGTCGGAGGCGGCGTGGAACATTTTGCCGTGACCGACAGCTTCGATGCCCGCCTTGCTCCTAGTGTAGGCAACGTTGATCTGGTGCCGGTCGTTCAGGAACCCCCATGCGTGGCTGCTGTTGGCACGGGTGGTGGCGAGGATGACCAGGTCTGCCACGTCGTAACTGTAGATCAGGCCCTTCGACCCAGTCTGGGCCTGCCGGAAGACTGCGCGGTTGTCAGAGGGGCCAGCCTTCCCTTTGCCGGAGAAGCCTGGGGTCCTGGAGCGGCGCCAGGGTGCCTCTGGGAACATCTGTTTGGCTCAAGGGGGGAACTATGAAACATGTTGTTTTCGTTTGTTTTTGCCACGCCCTATTCAAGAGAAATCAACCGACTGGGTTTTGCATCGCGCGTCGGACATTTCAACGTCTGCCCAACCCGCACCCGACCCGCGTGGAATCCGAGAGGCGCCAAGCGGCGTTGGCTTTTGGCCAGCGGGGCCACGCAGGTTGCGGGAGGGGGCAGGCGCGCGAGTGTCCGCCCAGCCTTGTCAGCGACCCCAGAGGGCCGATCGGCCAGGGCCCGCCTGACACCCTGAAATCTTTACGCGGAGGTGTTGCGTGACTGTTGCGTTTCCTGAGGGTATCTTTTTTCCTGGCCCCCACAGAGCCCAGTGTGTTTCTTCGACCCCTGTTGCGTTTGAGGGGTATAAAGTGTTTTGAGGCCTGTCGCGGTCGTCAATCAGGCGCCCGTGCCCTTGGCAGCCGTCGCGAACGCTCAGGGCCCATCATTCGGGAGGTGGCGAAAGAAAGTTCGATTCCGCCCACGGACTCGCAGATCACTTACCATCGACGGCGCTAACTAGCCAGCGGGGCCGCTGGCCCCGAGGCGAGACCTCCACCAACGTTGGTACTGAAGAGCCTTGAGGGGAGCCAAGCTGTGTAACAAAAACGGAGCAGCAAATTATATTGTTTGTAGTCTGCACATTGTAAGCTACCAGGGACGGGCCCACGGACGCCCACTGGCCTGTGCAGTCTTCCTTGTGCCTCTTTCCTGGCCATAGGCCGCCTGGAAGACTACGGCGGATAAAGGCTAGCCTTTTCCGCGCCAACAGGGCATAATTTTGCAGCCGCAGGCCATCCTGACCATCCGCCAGGCCTGAAGTAGGTGCCCTTCGCATGCTGCGACCAGATCGCAGATGGTAGCCGCCTCCCGGATGTTGCAGAAGCCCTCGGCGTGGCCCGATGTGACCTCGTGGGAGTCGTCGTGGACAAGGAGGACGCATATGTAGTCGCCATCCCGTACTCCGTGCCGTTCGCCAGGCGGGGGCCATGGATAAATTGCCGGTTCCTCATCGGGTCGGCAAGGCCCGAAATTGATTCCTTCCATAGAAGCATTGGGGCGCCCATTACAGGATGTTGGGGTGCATCGACACTCAGCCAAGAGGATGTTGAAGCCTTCGTTGGGCCCAGCGATCGGGGAACAGCTGCATGACAGAGATGGGCAGGCCCATGGTGGACGCGCGCGTCGAGATGACCTCGGGGCTCAGCTGTCTTTCGTCGCCTACGATGATAGCCAGGCCGCCTGCCCGTCCCAGGAGTCTCAGGGAGAAAGCGGCCAGGGCCTTCCTAGACTGTCCGGCCTCGTCCAGGATGTGCAGCAGGACCTTTGGGCAGCGGTTCGCTGCGAGTTCGCGAGTGGTGAGCCTGGCCTCACTCAGCAGCTTTTTCCTGAATTTGTTGAAAGGCTTGGGGCCACACCCTCCCCCGAACGGGTGATAACCCTTTGCTGCCAGGAACTTCCTCGCTGGGGTCAGATCCGGGTTTCTGCGCAGGTGCCTTTGTCTTCACGCGCCCGGCGCATTGCGGAGTTGGGGTACGTAGTCGGTGGCTGAGCTGAGGCGACCAGCCCCCTGGGCCTTTATGTCCGCGACCTTGACTGATCCAGCAAATAGACCGACCGCCCAGCCAGGGAGTACACAGGCCACCCACAGATTCATGGCTGCGGCTACGGTCTTGGTCTTGCTTGTGCCAGACGGGCCTTGCACCAGGAGGGCCACGGCTTGGAGCGACTGGGTCAGGACCAGGGGTTGCGAGCCGTTAAGCACGTGCCCATCGGCCGTCTCCTTCGCGTTGGCCAGTGTCGGGGTGGGGCAAAACTGCTGTTGACAGTCGTGTTTTGGTGCTCGCACAGGCATGTTGTGGCTCTCGCAGGCTCGACCCCCCCCCGTAATTAGCGGACGCCACGGGAGGGGAAAACTTGCTAATCTCACCCAGAGTGACCACCCCAGGTTTTCTTGCGCCACCTTGGAGCCCCTGGGGAGGGCCCTCTGGGCCTCGCGAGTGGTGCTCTGGAGACCGCCTGGGCCTCCCTGAAGAAGCCGGGGGCTGCCTGCGGCAAGTCCCGCCACCGTGGTAACCCAGCATTCCGAGTGGCGTCTGTTCGCGGGGGCACAGGAGGCCGTGACGCTTGACACCTCGTATCTCGGGCGAGGCCTGAGAGAGCCGTAACACGTGGTTCCTTCTTGGGCTCCTGTGACAGTCTGTTGGTCTTCGGGCCAGGACCACCTCCCGGCAGCCCCCGACCATCCCATCGCCCGGCGTTCCGCGCACGAGCCTCTCTGCGCGGGAGACCACCTGGGCGGAGTGGAGGCGGCTCATCGCCTCCCGCTACGAGGGGGCGCCCCCTCGGAAGGGCGGGCGCGGTGCAGGCCGCGGCCGCGGCCAGGTGGGAGCCAAGGAGCCGTCTGGCGGCCTCGGCTCTACGGGCGAAGGGGCGACGCAAAAGTAGTCTCCCAGCGCAGATCCGAAGGCCTCCGTCTCTGCGCCCCCCTGAGAACCGGGCGCTGCAGTGTCTTCACAGCGGGCGTTTTCGCTCGGTGTTGGGCCCAGGGACCCTCACGGATCGATTTTGCCCGAAAAATGCCGCAGAAGGATGAGGTCCAGGGCTTTAGTCGTGATCTATCACGATGTTGCATTTTTTCGCCACCTCGGATCTCAGGGCCCGCCGTCTCATAGAAGGAAGACGTACCGATGCCGTTGCCCGTCTTGGAGAGCCCTCGTCGCTACGGCTGGATGTTCCTCGAAGTGCTGCTCATATTGCGCCCCAGGAGAGGTATGGGAATAGCGGCATCGGTACCCTGTTGTTCCCCTACTCTCGGTGCGATCGAGACGGAGATGGACAGTTTTTTTTTGCGACTGGCCTTCTCTGTGGATGCAGGCTACTTTGGTTATGATGTTGACGATGAGGCGCTTCGCGATTCAGGGAAACTGGGGGGCTTGACCAGAAGGTAGCAGCGGACTTGCGTGTGGGGCGAAGATCAGAAGCATTGCCTGGCCTTCTGAAACAGGATTCGTTGTCGGTGTCGCCGCGGACGTCGTCTATTTGGGGCAAGCGTCGCTTGCTCAACAGCGGCCGCTGTTGGTTTGGGGTACAGGTTGCTGGTAGGCATCGTCCCCATAATGTCCGTTCCGTTCTGGACGTCCCAATTGCTCTTGCTGCCGATACACGTGCTGCTTCCTCATCCGCCCTCCGCATCCATGCCTCTTCCTTCTCACGGTTCCACGTGGCACCACCAGACGCACCTCCAACCATTACAAGGATCAGGGTCGGATGATTCGAAACATGTGCTACGCTGCTCGCTACTTCATGATGATACGCATGTAAAGCATCATATCGGCATCGGCGAAGGTCGAAGGATGATGAACGTTCTCTTCGTCCTCATCCTCCGTCCTCCGCCTCACTCTTCATTTTGCTCGTGTTCCCTCTCCTCCTCCTCCTCCTCCTCCTCCTCCTCCTCCTCCTCCTGAGTTACCCATGTCAACGATATAACGCAAACCATGCCAATAGTAATGGAAACCCGTATCGACAGTACTGGAAACACGTGGCGGCAATGATGCAAATTTCCCACGCACAATCAAGGATCCCACATAGGTATGCACTGCGCGCAATCGGCGGCGCAGCGAGAGCGGGGTGAGACAGCAGGCTGGCTAAGCAGGCCTAAAGGAGGAGGAGGAGGAGGAGGAGGAGGAGGAGAAGGAGGAAGAGGAGGAGGAGGAGGAGGAGGCGGAGGAGGAGGAGGAGGACGAGAGGGAGGGGGAAGAGGAGGAGGAGGAGGAGGAGGAGGACGGAGAGGAGGAGGAGGAGGAGGAGAAGGAGGAGGAGGAGGACGGAGCAGGAGGAAGCGCATGCGCTGGAGCATCTCCGTCCACTCGCCTGAACCACATCGGCAGCCGCTCCTCCAGCAGCACGTCGACTGTTTGCTGGCCGTTGGCTGGCAGCGGAGGGCCAGCGCCAGAGTCGCGCACCAGGTCGGCCGAAACCTCGACCCGCCTCCGGGCGTAGCGGTGCGCCTGATGGCCGCCATTCTTGTACGCAGCCTGCGTCAAGCTGCGCCAGCCGTCTGCTGCGCCCGGGCATCGGCGCGACAACGCCGGGCCAGCTCCTGCTCAGCGAGGCGTATGGTTGACTCGTCAGTGCACCCTTGGCACCTGTCGTGAATCACGCCCACCAGCCGCTCCTTGACCAGCGGGCCGACGTCGGGCAGGTCGAGGCCGTAGACGATCGCCTTCATCTGGTACCTCCTTTGTATCAATTTGGCTCGGCCTCGGTGCCCTGGGTGGGCTCGCGCCGCCGTCTAAGCTTGCTGGAGCAGGCCGTGCACCGCGATCCACTGCACTGCATTGTGGCGGGCTCGTGACGGTTGCGGGATTCCCGCTCACACAAGGTCCTCAACGGGACCTCTTTAGTGCGTGGCCCCGCAGCCCGGCCAGTGTGCTTCCGCACCTCGGTCGGCCCAATACCGTGAATTCGCGCGAACTCGAACCACTCCGAGATCATCATGGCCATCGGTGCTGCGGAGTGCTTGCCCGCAGCCCAACTCCAGGGAAACGCTGGGTCTTCCAGCTGAGGTCCACAGGGGGCCTCGCACTCAAAGGCCTTGAAGCGCAAGGGCCGGGTGATCTGGCGCCCACCCCGCAGACCCTCCAGGCTAAGGAGCACGGGAGCATGCGGGTGGACTGGAGCCTCTGGCAGCACCCGCACAGCTGCCGCGCACGTCGCCAGCGCTTGCGGTATAACGAGATAGTCCAGCACGCACTCCGGCACGCCGTCCGCCGCCTGGGATTGAGGCGGCACCGCGTCCGCTGCCCGGTGAGCCTCGCAGCTGCCATCCCAGCATGTCGCACTTGCCCCCGCCACCACAACGCCGCGCGTGGCCCGCATGAATCCGGACGATTCCAACTCCTCCGGCGAGACATTCCAATCAGCTTGAATGACCCACACCCTGTCGAGGCCCAGGACCACCTTCACTAAGCTCCAGAGGAGGTCGACGTTGCCCTTAATTTAATGCATACGCCCATACGCCCGTCACCGCGTAGACGGAGAGGAGGGCTAGTCCACCAGGCAGGCCCACGTCGAGCACCGGGCCGACGACCCGATGCTTGTACCCGTCCAAGTGCATCAATTCGAGCGGCGTTGATGCCACCGCACGGTGGACCAGCGTGGCAACGCCGCCAGACAGATCTCTCTAGCGGCCCAGGCCCGGTAGACAGTGCCTTGCCCATGGCTGCTTGGCGGTGCCACTCCTTGGCCAGGCCAGCGGCGCCGAGCAGCTTCTCGTGCCGCGGTTGGCCGGCGCGAGCCGCCCGGCGCCCTCGCCCGCCAGCGGACGGGGGGCCTTCCCCCGCCTCAGCCAGGCATGCATGACCGTCCGCTGCCCATCACTCGAGGAGAGCAAGAAGACTTCCCCACGAGTTGATGTTGACCCCCACGATGCTGAGGCAAGAGGTGCGGCTCGTCGCCGCAGGACCTCCTCCCTCTCTCCCGCAGCCTCCTCTTTCCTCCTCTCGCCACCTCCTCTAAGCGGCGCTTCCTCGCTGCTGCAGCGGGATGCCTGGCAGACTGTTCCGCCGCCGCCAGCTCAGGGCGTAATGTTGCCCTTCAGACTTCTTCTTGCCAATGGTCTTGGCGACCAGCTGCCCAGCCAGCCGCACGGCCGCCTTGGCCTTAGCTCGCCTGGCAGGGCGATCGCCGCCATCACCAGCAGCAGCAGCGCTGGAGTCCAGCTCGTCCAAGACCTTGTCGAGGGCTGCCTAGTCGCCTAGTCCTCCTCATCGAGCATGTCGAGGTCGGGCATGTCTTGGGGGGCGGCCTCCTCCTCCTCCTCCTCCTCCTCCTCCTCCTCCTCCTCCTCCTCCTCCTCCTCCTCCTCCTCCTCTCCTCTGGCGCCGCCTCCACCTCCTCCGCGTCTGGAGGATGGATGGATGAGGATGAGGATGAGGATGAGGATGAGGATGAGGATGAGGATGATGCTGATGATGATGATGATGATGATGATGATAATGATGATGATGATAATAATGATGATGATGATGATAATGATGATGACGATGATGATGATGATGATGATGATGCTGATGATGATAATGATGCTGATGATGCTGATGATGCTGATGATGATGGCAAGACGCTGACGATGATGACGATGATGGTGTTGATGCTGATGATGATGCTGATGATTCTGATGTGTGACAGATAGTCGATGTTATGGTAGACGATATATGATGTTGTTGCTGCTGATGATGATGGTGGTGATGGTGATGATGGCGCTGCTGATAATGTTGATGTACCTTATGATGATGTTGCTGCTGCTGCTGATGATGATGATGATGATGACGATGATGATGATGACGATGATGATGATTATGATGATTATGATGATGAGGCTGACGATGATGCTGGTGCTGGTGCTGATGATACTGATGCTGATGAGGAGGAGGACGAGGAGGAGGAGGAGGAGGAGGAGGAGGAGGAGGAGGGAGGAGGACGAGGAGGGATGATGACGAGGAGGAGGACGAGGAGGAGGAGGAGACGAGGAGGAGGAAGAGGAAACGGAGGGATGCATAACAAAAATAAGGAGGAGGACGAGGCGGCGGAGGAGGAGGAGGAGGAGAGGGACGAGGGGAGGAGTGAAGAAAGGGGAGGGGACGAGGAGGCACGAGGGCGGAGGGGAGGCGAAGCGAAAAGTGAGTTTGCTCCTCTCGCTCCGCCTCGCAATTGCGGCGGATCGCGGCACTTGGCCCTCGTGGGCCATGCCGTTCAGGCCGTCTCTCTCCTCACCTGCTCCTCCGATACGGATCCGATGAGGCGCAACATTTTCTCTCACGCGGACCACGGCGCCTCACCCTCTGAGACGCGAGCTCGCGGCCCGGCAGCTTGTGTGCCCGGGCCGCGGCCGCCTGCCCCCCACGGCACGGCAGCATGTCTGCCAGGGCCGCCTGTGTCCACTGGGATCATGTGTGCCCCGACCAGCAAGCTGGCAAGCGCACGTTGGCCTCCTGTGCCCACTGTGGGGCCGAGAGAAACGCCATTGGAGGCCCCACCTCAAAAAGGTGAGGGCGGGTGGGGCCTCAAAAAGCTGGCCCCGCATTGGGCCTTGAGCCCAGAGGGCCAGAGGAGGGAGAGGCTACGCGCGCGAGCAAAATCCTCTGTTACAACTAACGTCCAAGTTTTGCTCCTCTCGCGTTCCGCCTCGCAATCTCGGCGGATCGCGGCACTTGGCCCTCGTGGGCCATGCCGCTCAAGCCGCCTTTTTCCCCACCTCTTCCTCTGATGCGGATGCGATAAGGAGCACCTTTTATTATCTCACGCGGACCACGGCGCCTCATCCTCTGAGGCGCGAGCTCGCGGCCCGGCAGCCTGTCTGCCCGGGCCGCCTAAACCCCGCGTGATCTGGCGCTTCCCGCTACACCACGCGCGCCGCGAGCCACGGGCCCACCTCGAGAGTCCTGCCCGCACTGGAGGGGAGACCTAACCCTGCCACTACCCAGCACTCGTGCGCCAGTACCGCCCGTGTTTTTGTTGCGCCTCGGCAAGCGGCCGCTCCTCAGCCTCGCGAGGCCCCACCTGCGCGTTAGCCCTTGGCCTGTACGGCCGGGCGAGGTACCCTGCGCCTCGAGATCAAAGGCCCCTCACGGTTGCCACACCTCTCCTCTTCAGACCATGGTCAGGTCCGCGTCTGCCACACTGCTGGCCACGCCCTGCGCCATGTCCTTCGCCCCCCCCCCACAGGTAGCACTGGAACGCGTCGCTGTTCCAGCGCCCCCACCGCTTCACCAGCGTTGTTTCTATGAACGCCGCGCACAGCGCGGATGCTCCACCGATCCGCAGGCCGTGGGAGCCGAGGTCGTTCGGGCCCACTCCCTCTGCCACAGCCGACTGCATCACCGCGCGCTG